CGGTGTTCATGATCGTTGAAACTAGTTTCGAAGAGAAAGGGAATAATCGGCAAAATACTTAGACAGAGCGAAACTGGGACACGCTTTTCAGCAGCTGATAGTTGTACAATAATAATAATAACGTATTCGTAGAAAGTAATAAAATAGTTAATGAGTAATTAATGTAGTCGTAGTTGTATATACTTCAACACTTGTATTTATTAGTCTTGAACACCTCTTGTCCTCTTCTGGCTTATATAGAATATACTACTATGGTTTTTTTTATTGTTGTTTTTTTCGATAATAAATGATGATTATTTTTTTTATAACCTCAAATGTTTCTTAAGGATGTAATTCTCCAGTACACCGAACCGAGCGCTCTCGTACGTAAACACTATTATCACATATAGGTTTATCAGTTTTGTGTTATCAATTATCAGTAATAACATATCATAATGAATAACGGTATGAACTATAAGGCAGAAAGTTGATCGGGTAGGAGTGTCACTATTTGTTGTTCTTCTCAGGGAAAAATAAATGCTTATTTCTAGTGGTTAATACAATTTCAAAAATCTCCAAACAACCTAAATCGAGAACCTATCATAACAATTTCAAGTGACGCCATTAATTAAAATAATACATTGACATACGCGGCCTTTTATCGGAAAACAAATCACGATTTACTGTGAATCGACGTTGGTGTGATTGTAACCTATTTGTTTACTAATATTAGACGGGTTACTATGGCGACTCATAATAATATGAACAACGATGATCTGCGAAGTCTATTAGGTAAAGTAATATTACATTTTTCTGTATGACTTAGTTCACTTACCTAATCATAATGTAAAATCAAATAAAAGTTTTTATTGGATAGTTCGTATATTATACACCTTTTATACTACCTACCTGTCTATATATATTATAAATTTATAACAAATAACAAATTTGCTGTGAATTATAAAATTAAAAACTGAAACTTATTATTTTATTAAATTAATTTTGAATAATCTATACTACAATGTGTTTTTCGAGTAAGTAACTTGTTTTTCTGTGCTTATAATGTTATAAATGTATAATATATATTATTTCATTTCTTTTGAATATTTATAGCTCCATTAGCGTTCGTCATTCATTTGCTATAGTTTAGAGCATAATCGTATAATCCTTGTATAGTACCTTAAATATCTCAAATCAGAATTTTAATTATTTAGGCAATTAGACTTTCAATTCTCAACACTAGTGTTTAAAAAACTGCTGAAAAATATATCCGTAGCCCCCTCGGTACCCCGTTATATTTCAAAAATATATTTAATGTGTATTATTTAATTTATAAGTTGTTATAATATAACCTTATAGCACATAAAACCCCTACATTTTTAGACATTTTTAACATTCGTAATGACCACAATGGTCAATGATACCAACTATTAGTGAATGTAGTATACGGCACACCACTTATACACGTATTACATTTGCAATTGCTACAGTCTATAAATATGTTTTAGGTGTCGCTTTCCATAGTACGCACTTCCAGTGTCCTCCAAAATAACACATATTAATATATTATATTATTATATTTAATTAGGTGACTGATAATTATTTATTTATTATATTAGATCAGTTCACCAAGTTGTATAGAATTATAGATTATATACTTACATAGGTTAGATATATTTCTAATACGAAGTATAAATAATAAAAAATCATAAAAAATGTAATAGGGTTCACAATTTTTTTTCATCACAAAACAAGTTTAAACTAGGTACACCTATTTTTTTTTTAGCCAAGCACTGTTATTATTAATAATACTACACATTACATCTATCTGGTTATATTAATTTATAGTTTATCCTTAGTACAAAACCTTACTAGGTAACCTATCCATAGTCGTATACAGTAAAACTGAGTGTAGGCTATAGATAAGTTTATTATAACAATTAATAATACAGTAATCACTGGTTTCCGCGATGTTGACGTAGGTACCATTAAAGTCGGATAATATTGTACATAGGTGAACTACGTGGGAACTTGGGTATGCTTTGCGTCACCAACTTTGAAATTAGTATCCTTATAAATTATAATGTACACCATTTATGTTCAATTATTGTTGGTCTAATATTACTCGTACATAAGATTATATTATTATATTTATGTATAATTGTTGGATGGTAGCAGGGTGTGGTTCGGTAATTATTCTTGAATGGTTCGAATATTATTGATTTTATGCATCAATGCTTAAGGTCCAATTGTGTATAGGTGCGAGTACGTGTATTATGTGTCTGGCTTTCATCTAAATTAAAAATATATATTATTTAGTATGCTTATTATTGTTATTAATATATGTTATTCTATATTTTATAATTAATTATAAAACATAATGTAATATGTATAACATGTATTGGACATTTTGTTATTTGTATTTTCTTGTGATTGATATTACATTTTCGGCACTTGACGCTTGCTAGGATATAGAACTATTTACTTTGTGGTGACAGTAATAATGATAATATACAATTTAAAGTTAAATTTTTAATAAAAAAAATATTTAAACCAATTTTTAAAATGGGTAGGTAGTTTGAATAACACATGGTTTTATTCATATTATTAAATTACCCTATTTTTGAGATTAATTTACTATATATTATTAATTATACTGTCTATTAACATTTTTATATTCTACATTCAATGCTATTACGTGTGGTATTATGACATTTTAATGTTTTGAACGGACGTCGGACTCACCTCGATTTTCTGTAAACACATATTTTAGGCCTTAACTTTTGTCCGTATAATGCATAACACAAACATATAACACATGTTACAGTATTAACTATGTACGTCTATAAACAATCACTATTTATATCGCCATTCCGTGTGCATAATGGTTTTATTTATTGTTGGTTCGTAAAAACGTATGCACGGCAACATCGAAAACACGTTTTGTATATTAGGTATAATTTATATCTAATATTATTTTAATATTTTTAAGTCAAATATGGGCTGAATTTTTTTTTTCATAAGGTTTTCGTTGTTATGGTTACTTATTTACAAAAACATAATAACGATTCATAGATTTTCCGTGTAGTCGGAAAATATCGAGTAGAGTGCTATAGTTTTTAACTAGGTACCTATGTAAAAGAAAATATAATGTATTTAAAAAAAAAATCATATAAGTACTTAACTATGTAATCATACATTTTATTGTTAGAATTATTAAATTAGACAACAAAAAAACAAAATATTTATAAATTAAATATTAAAAATACAATATTAAAAAACTTGTCTCCAAAAACACAAACATTATGTCTTCAGTAATTGTATAATGTCATAAATTTCAATCCATGGTGTAATAAACCAATAATGCTAGAATATAAATTCTTATGAAGTAGTAAAATATTAATTCTTTAATGGGTATTCGTGGATTAACCATAAGGTCTCTAAGTAAATTGTAATTTTTCCCTACAACTGTGACACACGTCCTGTATGTTTATTGTTTATGTAAAAGTGCAACATCAAATGCAAATATGCAATGTATAAACTGTGAAGTTCTAGTTCTAACCGTACCTGACATATTAGGATGGGGTCAAACTTTTTATCGAAATTTGTTTTATTTGTTTAAAAATATTTTAGGTATATATATATTTATAGGCTATATATTTTCGTTAATACTATTATAAATACTAATATAATATAATAGAGTAGGTACTTACAACATGCATATTTAATCATACGATTAAAAGAGAAAAGTGTTACCAATTTTGTAATAAACATATTGTTATAAAAAATGTAATAAAATCTTTGAACTCTTATGAAATTAAATGTTTATAATCGCTTTTTTTAGATTTTTCTGCTATAGTTGATTATAGTAATAATAACATAATATTATGGACAACCTTGTGTTCAATTTCCCGGTCATATACTCTTACAGTATAATAACAGTTTTATAAAAAAAAAACTTCCTCATTTTCCTAAGTATATCTATTATAATACATAATATGTAGATTCCGTATAAAATTGGTTTTTGCACTTTCAAAATGCTGAATCCTGTACCAACATTAAACTATTGTATTACATATACCTACTCAAGTATAACAGGTAATAACTAATAATGAATAGCCGTTACTATAATATACATTGCTTCATAATTTTAAATTGTGTTTCTTGATATTTTATTTTAAAGACAGCTATAATTTAGCTTAAGATTAGCTAAAACTCGTTAACGTTATTTCCAATTTTAAATATTTAAAAAAACGTATGTGGTTCAATATTGTGGAAGTATGAAAATTAATTCCTATATTCTATTTATTATTTGATATTCGTACGTTTCCATTTTTTAAATATTGGTACTGTACATAATATCTGATAAATATTTTATTATAAAAATTAAAAATTAAAAATTTGTTATCATTCTATGTCTTTATCAAAACATAACTAACGAGTGACATTGGGCTACAAGGTTTTACACTTAATAAGCTACTATTATAAGTTCTAAACCCAAAAATTAACATTGACGTTTATAAGATGTAAGTATTATGTGCTAAATTTAATTACGTGATCAACATTTTACTCGCAGATTAGTAGGTACCTCAATATAATTGGGTTATTAAGGAAATAACAAATTTAACTTGCAAATGTGTAAAATATAAGTTATGTTTGTCTTTATAGTCAATTGCATAACTATATTTATGAATAATATCACAATATTATTAATATAAAAAAATATTTGACAACAACCTAGGTTCATTGTAATTGTTATGTAGTATAAAATGTTGCTCTAAAATGTTATATTCGTTAAACTTAAAATATGATAAATAGGTATAGCAATTATTCTTTATTTGTTACTTATACTTAAAATTTATTATAAACTGAATCTCTTTGGTATGATTTTTGTTGTAGGTATCTTTAAATTCAGCGGTTCCCAATTGCTAGCTTTGAAATATGACAAATTTATATTAACCTACTTACGGTTTGTATATATTGAGTGTTCTAACGATTATTTGCATCTACATTTTTGTTAAAATAAAAATCTGCAGGTGAATGACGAATGTTAAAAATTTTTAAGGTTATGACTCGCTATTAAAAATTATTATATGAACCACCATACAGTATAAAAACTTGTTAGGGAGAATGTATCGTACTCAATAATTTAAAAAAATATGTACTGTATATACATATTTATTTAACCTCCGAAACTATTTATTTTGTATGTGAAAAAATATGGGCACTACAGATGATGAATACATATAGCATATAGGTGGATACATTTACTAAATTTAAATGTGTGTAATATTATGATAGGTAGGTATGTAATGTTATGTACCTTAACTATGAACTATTGAAATTAAGTTCGAAACGGTCTGACTGGCCTAACTTATCTAAGCTATTTACTTCTTTAAAATTATTTCTCAAAACTAAAAAAAAAAATTAAGGTACACGTATAAACTTGTATTAGGAACTTACTTATTTTTTCAATGGAAAATATATTATTAAATAATAATTTAGACAAACATCGCATTGGTTTTGTTTGTATCTATCATCAACTCAAAGGAAGCTTCTTCTAGAAAATTGGATATAGTTATTAGTTGGTACTTCAATTAAAAGTAAACAATGCCAAGTAATTTTAAAAATACAATATTGTGAGTGTAACCAGGGCTTAAACTTTTATCCCTACAGTCCTACCCTGTAATTTTCAGATGCATTTTATTTTTTCCGAGTATTTGAACATGTGCTAAGGAACGGTATAGTTTCCTCCTGTAAATATAGTTTCGATTATATTATAGTATATTATTTACAATTGCAAAAGCGTAATCTGGGGGGGGGAGTGTCTATCTTGGGGAAGGAATTGGTTTTTTTCTGCCTTGCAATAAGTTCAAATTGAATCTTTTACTGCTTTATATACTCTGTTTTTGTTAGTATGTACCTATAAGTTTTTGATCTTTGTATTTGTATACTATTTTTTTTAAATTTTAATCTTGTCTGTTAAAAAAAAATAATAACTTATGCCTATAATATCTACTAATTTATTTATTGGGAAAAAGTAAGCCCCTCCTTATCATTCCTATACATAATAGATTTTTAGTTTTACCGCAGCTCCCCCCACCAAGAATTTTCCCCCGGATTACGCCTATGTACAGTCGAATCTCGATAACTCGTATCTCAAGGAGAATAAAAATAAATTTGACTTATGTATTTTCTCAAACATAACTTAAAAACACTTGAAAGGGCAAGAAAAAAATCGAGTTATCGAGACTCTTCTCCGAAAATAAATCCTAGTTTATCGCATACCTGTAATTACCAGTTAGTAGCTACATGGTTCTATAGCTTTATTTTATATGTGGCTGACTAATAAGTACAACGTTCCTGTATACTTGCTACGTCATTATACGTCTGGTTTTGAATATCATGTAAAGAAATATACATCCATATAAGTAGTAGGTACTTATAGATTCCCAGGAAATGTACTAAGCGAATACCTAATTATTTCCATTTGCATAGCATAAATATTACCTATTCCCCATTGTATTTGTTTTCGAGTTGAATATATTGTTCAGATATTAAATGCATTAGTACTAAATACGTCTACGTGAAGGTTTTCAATAGGTTGCTATACGCTTTATAGACATTGTTAATTTACGTGTTGAATAATTCAGTTTTTCGTCTTTAGGGAAGCATATTGGATAAAACACGGTGAAACTAAATATATATTATACATATATTATTGTTCAAAAATGTCGACGTTTTGTGCTGATGGTCTTATTCCAGCCAGATTTTTATGTCTCGTTGCACATTTTATAATGCTCGTCATGGCTTTGAATCATAGGGTAAGACATTTTAAAAAAAACGTTATGCCAAATCAAATGAACATATGATATTAGGTATAAAACGTATGTAGCGTTGACTTCATGTCTTGATACCAAAACTCTTCAGTAACCACGCATAGACACACAATTAATATTTTCACAATACAATTATATTATTTATCATTTAATTTAAGGTACATACTACATACGCATTTGCTTTGTCACGGATCATCTCAATAGTTGTTAATTCCCACACTGGATTATGAATTATGATCGATCCAAGGTGTAAAACCACTGACGTACTGATGCATATAATACAACTATTGAGATTTATAATCAATTACTCGTAAATTTGAATCGTGTGTCTAATGACGCACGTTGCAGCTCACTGTTCAGACATAAACAATTAAAGTTTTTGTTCAAGGACTGAAAAATAGAAAAACATTAACATGACGCCATAGAGCATATAAAAGTTTTTTTTTTAAATCATAATTATTTGATTTCTTAAATCTCATTAATCTGACTGTTTTGATTAGTAGTTTAAAATATAATGATATGTACCTATATACCTAGGTATGTAATAATAGTGTAATGTTGTCGAAATCGAAGTTATGTTATGTAACGACACACACTCTGTAACTATTACCTACAGGCCTATAGTGAAATTATGTGTGCAACAGTTTTGTTATAATAATATATTATACCGACGCTTTGTATATTTTGTATTCATGCATATTTTTGGTGGCAATGCTATTAACATTTTTAATTTTTAACCGAAATGTATTATCCAATCAGTACCCACTACCCAGTATTATATCCCGATATTATTACACTACTCGTAAATGTTTAGTAATTTAGTCAACGCTACTTTACTTGATTATAATTTGGCATCACGTGTAAAATTAATTAATTATGATTGAATGTAATTACGAATGGTCGCAATTACTTATAGGAGCAAAACGTAAAAGCATGTCTACCTTACGATTATGACAACGATCTTTACATGGAACAAGACAAAAGGTAAATTCAAAGGTTATTCCTACTAAAAAGAGAATTTTTTGAAGACAATATTGTTTATTAGTTTATGTATTGTATTGATTGATGCACTTTTTTGTATATTGCATAATATTTTCACTGTAGACATTAAAATGTTTAATTTGATACGTTTGCCACGATATTAGATCATGGTTTGTTGTTATTCTATAATAGTTTTGTAAAATATTAAACACAGTTTATTAAGACGTATAGCATTAGGTAAAAAAATATAATATATTAGAGAATTATAACATAATTTTGCTGAAAAAAATCTTTAGCACACTGCATGCACTTCAGTTATGTTTTGCACATAAATTGACTTTCAAGTTTCCGCAATTATGAATATCTTTAAAAACGTATTGAAACATATTCGAGTTATTCAATTTATATTTTTAAGTTGTATAAAATGTCTTAACTGTAAGGTCTGTAACCTGTCGCTGCCGGTACCCTTTCTCCTATAATGATAACCTACTACAATGTATAGGCTTTTAAAGAAATTATCGTAATATGAATTTAGAAACACTGTTTCAATATGCTTTTACTTTGTTTCAGACAGTGTATTTGTTCATTTTTTTCAATGAATAATAAATTGATAATTTTCATTTAATTATTTCGTCAAGTATATGCACATTGCACATGTTTTTTTTTTGTTAAATAACACTTACTTTACATGAAACAAGTCGTAATATACACATTATTGAATATAATAACAATAATAAAACGAAATGCTTGATTTTTCTTACTATAAATATAGGTAATTTATTCTTTACATTTAGGTTGATGATTGGTTACACACTTTCAATTGGTTTCATTGGTATCGAAATGTTTGGATTTATGAGTGGTATAACAATGTTTTCTCCGACAAACGGTTTTATATGTATCCTTTTTTCTTTATATTTTGTAATTATTTTTGAATCAATAATACTCAACAAATCTGTTTTTTCTTAACTTATCCTATCTCAGCTATGATTTGCCATGGCGTGGCTACCATGATGATGTTTTATTTCCTTCAAGATTTATGGAGTTGTGAGATGTTTTGGTCCGTGTTTTTTTTATGCAGCATATTGCCGTGTTCGATCGAACTAATTATGATAAGCTATTCCTTTATAATGAAAAAATGACGACGTTTTTATGAAAATTTAATTTAAGTTATTAACATCTAAATATCTACAAGTATGTATACACTTTTATATGGAGCTTTTTAATTACAATTGTCTAATAACGTCTGTCTAAAAACACTATATGTTTCAATTGTTAGACTATTACTTGAATATTGCTCAAGTTATGGAATCCGATGCAAATAGGTTTGACTGAATCACTTGAAAGTGTTCAAAGAAGATTTTTACGATTTATTGGCTACAAACTTCAACGTATAACTGATGACCTTTCTCAATCCTTATCTATACCTCTAATTATGATTCAAAAGGGCCTCCACTTGCAATATCTGGACAAAAGACAACGACGCAATGATGTTTACTTCATGTCCAAACTGGTAAACGGAACTATATCTTGTTCTGAGCTGCTGGATCTAGGACAGTTCCATGTCTCTCAATACTTGTCTTGTTCCTGTCCTATCTTCTCTATAAACATCACCGAACATCATACAGTTTTAATATCTCGGTTGATCGCAGTGCACAAAAATGCAATCCATTGAAAAACTTTTTACAAATTCAATATACAATTTATGGACCTATATTTATATATACTTCTTTTTTTCATGTATTATTTTATTTCACTGCAAATGTTAATACCTATTTAAGTAATTAAATATTAATATGTTATTTTTACTTTACTTCATACTAACCGTTAATTATGTATTCTTATATTGTACTTGAGCCTTCAAAGCTTTAAACAAATAAATAAATAATAGGACTTATTTTAAATTGTTTTTACTATAAAAATTATAAGTATGCTATTATTAATATGTTGATTGTATATGTAGTGTATCTTTATTCTTTAATTATTAATATATAATATTAACCATTTTGTATACTAAGATGACTGATAATATACCAAAGTCAAAACCAATATTTTGTATTATATGCATTATATTTATATTAGATACAACTTCGAGGATTTAAACCCTAAAAAAATATATTGTTAAAACAAATTATGAATTATTTGAATTCAGAATAATAAAATAAATATCATTATAATAGTCATTTTTTACTTATTAATACATGATCAGGTAAATTATTTATTGAGGTACCTTGTACCTATTGAACTGCGCACATCATTGGTACATGGCCATTAAGAAATATTGAAATAATCCAAAGAGTATTTCACATTTTCACGCATTTAAATTATGATCTATTTCTTAAACTGTTATAAACAAAGTTGTTGTATTGTTAATAAAAATAAAATAAAATACTTTTAAATTATAATTTTTTTTTTTTATTTATTCTTTAAAAATGTTTCAGCACACCAGGTGCTATTACAAATATATTTACAATTAAAATTATAATTTAATGTCAGTTATTAATAATCAAGTAGGTATCATGTTCGTTAATCGGTAACTATTGTTATTATTTTGCATTTAATTCATAGACTAGTAAATAAATAAATTTTAGTATGAAATATATTAATTATGGATGAATACTTCGAGGCCATCACCAAAAAATAAAATGTGATATTAAATTATTTATTAATCAAATAGTTATTTCTCTCATGATTGAACCCACTTCAATTGGCGTTCTTAAACAATAAGCATTCAATCATTTCATGAGTACAGTAGTGCATTGACTTATATTACATAGTTTATGGTTGGATATATTATAGTTATCTATTTTTTTATTAACAGAAATTGATTTTTCACCAACATTATTCTCTAATATCAAATTAGTAATTACCTACTAGTTACTCTGGTAATTGGACACACACTTAATATATCAACTTCAAATCACATGTAAGTGCAAAATAAATGTTAGTAAATAAATAAGTTTGATTTTTTTTTATCAAAAGCTTCAACATCTATAATAAAATAAATTATTAATTTATGACGGACTATACATATTTTGATAATTTTGTTATAAAAACATATTAGCTGTTTTATAGTTATAATATAACTATAATACTTAAAAAACTACGGCAATAACTACATACTAAATTATAACTACAGTACTATACATAGTACATCAATCCTCTATTTTTGTATCTGCGTTATACCCAACTTAATATAGGTACCTAAATCTACAAAACATAATGTTCATAGTTTACATTTTTTATAAATATACGTATAGTTGAAGCTTGAAAGTTAATATCCGTTGAAGTTAAAAAAAAATTGGTTTATATTGTTTTATTATTCTTAGTAGGCTAGATAATGTCTTATACTAGGTACCTATACTTCCAAAATGATTGTATTTTTTAATAGATGCATTGCGATTATAGCGGTGATATCCGTAGACATTGCTTGTAACTTATGCCTTATGAAGTATGGGCCAGTGAAGTGCATTTCTCATAAGGTTTTTATTCTTAAGAACGAATTGTCTATGTCTTAAGAATTTTCATTTTGTATACTTTACTTAAAGTATTTGATAAGTTTTCTAAAACATTTTAGAAATACATGAGGATAATTTTTATTTAACGAGCAATTTCTTGTCGCTTAAATAGGCTGTAAGCGTTAAAATAAATCATTTAATAATTAATACAGTCAATAATTTAATTTTCCAATTGGCTTACTTTTAAATTGCTATTTATAGCCTAAACTATAATTCACCTATAATTATTATGTATTATGCTCTTGAATTTTTTAATTTTTAAATGATTTCTAACAAATCCTTAATTTATTATAAAAATGTTGATATAACATATCACTATAAAGTTAGGGAAGAGTGAATGAAAATCTTCATATTTCGTCAAAATTTGAAACCTATTTTGATCACGTTCGGAAAGTTCTTGGCTTATCTTTAAAAATCGTAGTTTCTGTTTTAAACAGATTTGAACTTTAAAAAAGTTTGATGGTACAATTTCGTCAGTTAACATACTTAATTATTAGCCTTGTACGATAAGTAGGTAATTTTTTATTTATTCTTCAAAAAGATAATGGGCCTCAGTGAACATGTTCGTGTGAGGGCCTACAATGCAATGTGTGTGAATTACGGATACTTCCCATTTTTAAAATATTTTGATGGTTGATACCGTGTAATACATTTTATCAGGCTTATATTGTATACCTAGGCACATTTGTCTGCATTTATATATTTTTATTGCTTATAATTATACTGTTTAGTGTTTATTTAAGTTAAATTATTTGAAATTGTTTTTTAAATATTATGCAAATGTATATTATGGTTTACGACTTACCGCTGGTAATCCAGGTATCTGAAAATAAATAAATATAAATATAAATCTCAATATATGTATATAAATATAGATTTTTAGGTTATGCTTAAGCATCATAATTCATAAGTCATATGTTTAATTTGACATTTAAAGATAATTTTGTTAATTTTGGAAAACTTAATAAATATTCATAAGTGATTGACAATTACTGAAAATAATACTGCAATGAGCAATACTCATTGGAGTCATTTTTATTAAGAATTTTCATATTACATGTATCAACGTTTATAATGTAATTTTACTTTACTAGCTAGGGAACGATAAGATAGACGAGTGTTCACCATGCACTCAAGTCTTAAACTAACCTAGTAACCTACGATATATAAGCGTATTTAAACTTCGTTGAGCATGATGCTACTACCGAGTGACGCACAGCCCAGTTACCTAGTAATGCAACTACAGCATGTTGTTTTAATATACCGGGTAAGTGACTGGTATCACGTGGAAGTGTACGTAAATTGTAATAATTCATTTCTGTAGACTATGTCAGTTATTTAATGATTTATTTAAATATTTAACAACAAAGCCATAAAATGTGTAACTGGTAAGCCAATTATACTAATATTATAATACATTTATAATGGACTTGGTAAACACCAATACCTATTGTTGATTATTTTATGAAAAATTTGATAGATATGTGTGAATTAATCGAAATAATAATAGTGATTATGAAAAAATTAAAATATACCTGGAAAGAAAGAATATTCACTTGATTCCTCCCCCTCTCCCCCTCCCCCCAACATATACATCATACATAAGTTATTCGACTATACCTATGTCAATATTTAATCCTCTTCAACCGTCATAATGTTACATAATAAGCATTCATTATTTCATGAGTACAATAGTATAAAATGTATTAATAAACTTATGAATATTACTATACTACTATAATACTACTATACTACTATACTACTATACTACTATACTATTATATAGAATTAAAAATATAATCAATGTAACTTTTGACTGGATAATGGATATATTATAGTTTATAGTTATCTAATTATTCACTGTCATTGTTTTTTTATCACCAGGCATAATAATTAGCTGGCAATATCCGGTTATATCGGTTATATATTTAGGGTCTAGAGATACTTCCTCAATATTTTATAAGATTTAGTTTTAAATGTCGGTTGTGTGTATTTTGGTTAGCTGAATATTATGGTCTCATAATTCCTTTGTGTACCCTTGCATCAATACAACTAGTATAATTTTTACAATCATTTTCCTCATAACATTTTATTCAGATATTGTAGCAATATGCCTGTAATTTTCTGTATCTGTAAACTTGGTTATTTAGACGTTTATAGTATCCTACAGCTTATACCATTATTAAAGAATAAATGCTTATATTATTTAGATGGATAAACGTATTTTAGCATGCTGATATACTGAACTCAATATAACTATCAATATAACGTAATATATATTTATAATAATTATTTAGTTATATTCTTCATTGTATAGCTTTAAAAAAAATCTACGATAGAATATTTCGAAAACTATAATCGTAATTATTTACGAAAATTCAATATCCTTCCCTATGTTGTCCGTGCCAAAGAAATGTAATATATCATACATGACATTATATTTCTACTAATTGTAATAGTAGTTAATGTAATATTTAACCAATGGCAACCATTTAAATGAAAAAAAAGAATATTGGTTTATCGTGAGCTGAAAAAATGTTGCATTTGTGAACTACGCTTTATAGCTATACCTTTAGGGGTTGAAAAAATATTAAAACATTCTCTAGCAGTAAATATAATAATAAATATCAAAGTATGTTTACATTATTATGTATGTCCGCTACACACACTCACGCCTGCAGACTTAATATGTAGATGCACGACATCGGTTGGATGCATAGGAAATATTATTAGGTCCTGCAGGACTTATTCGCCATAATTTCATTTGTATTGCCGTGAATACGGGAGGGAACAACTCTCAACTACGATACAACGGTGCCAATAAAAATTGTGATCACACAAATAAAAAAAATTTAAAAAATAGGTGAACAAATAAATAATAAAGTATCATGCGTCCTACCCCGGAAAAGAAGAAAACATTTTGAAAAAAAATAAAAAAAATAAATACGTCGAGCGAGAGTGTGCCCCATTCGTTGTCCTTGTAAATCCTCTAGGGACCTCGTGTATATGCAATAAAATCAAAAGCAATAAAACTTTACTATTGGGACATTATTTTTTTTGTTTTTATTTTAACTTTGAGCGGTATTTTTCCTGTTATCGTGTACTTATAATTATGACATAACATCATAATAAAGTTTTGATGGCAGACACTTTAGTGTTGTATAACATACGCAATGAGTCATACTGCAAGCTTTCCATAATTATTATAAAATGTAATAGGTATATTCTATTGTTTTATTTTATTATTATGGTTTTTTTATTCGTCGGTTACAAAATGAGTTATCTGTCTGACAGTTATTGACAAAAATATTATACTATATTTCACATATTATCATCCATAGTGCATAGGTACACGGTTCTCCATTATAGCTGTAAACGTCGAACTCTATAGTTTATAATACATAGGAAAAATTTGCATCGGCTTTTGGTTCACTTGATACAATAAACATATAATATGTAATGAACAATTATAATAATATTATAATCGAAAACTTAAAATATATACAAGATATCATGGAACATTGAACAAATAAAAAAAATAAAAATCAATATTAGTATAAAATAAAAATAAATATTTTTGTAAGGTAAAAACATTTTCTGAAACTTAATATGTAAAAATACATATACCTATATGAATATGTACATTTATTGAAAATGTTTTAATATATTATTGGTATAGGTGTAATAGGTTCAATACTAGGTACATACATATGTATGCCACATATTTATTTATTTTAACACTATTTTTTTAATGATCTATGATTACTATTAAATTGTCCATTACTTATGATATTATATAAAAAACAATCATATAACTTTTCAGGTACGTCCAATATGGAAAATGAAATGATAGTAAATAAAGATAACTATAATGAGAATAAAGAACTAGGTCCGAATTACTTACTCGGTGATCAAGAACACATTGACAAAGTAATTCATTTTTAATAATTTACTTTTAACATATATATATATTGATGTATTAGTTTATTTTATTTTTGATTTTAGACAACTAAAGTCTCATGGATTCTAGTCATAACAACAATAAGTACTAGTTTAGGCTGTTCAATTCCTGCCGGATACAACACTGGAGTAGTAAATGCCCCTGCAGAAGTTAGTGTTCAAGTTTAATTTAAGTTTAGCTGAATTGTTAACGTTTTTATTTAAGTTCTTATGTTTAGTATTAAATGTGATAAGACGAAAATTAACAGACTATGACAAAACAAAATTTAAACTTATAGGTATTGAAACAATGGTGTAATGAAACGATCATGCATCGCTATGCCGTACAATTTTCATCTGCTCAACTTGATGGCCTTTGGTCTATTCTAGTTTCCATATTCTTGATTGGTGGCATTATTGGTGGTGTAGCTGGTGGTAAATTAGCAAATGTATTCGGCAGGTAAGTTATTTTATAGTTATAGTTATTTTAAATACCACATTTTTATAGTTGTGCAATATTACTTGGCCAGTTAATTTTGATCCAGTTGTGGAGGTACAGATTTCCCGACTATAGGTGAGAGCATTATATTAGCACCGTAACACCCTACCATGTTAACTAAGTAATCTTCATGGTTACTCTCTAATTTCCACAGAACACCGTCATTGTCAACATCTATATGTGTTATTGTACGACAGTCTACACTTTTCTTTACCTAAAATTTACATTATCTTTGATACTGATAAGTGACAGTGACAGTTGCTATTATAAATTGTGTATTATATAATGTTATTATTATTATTATTATTATTATGGTAGGTAAGTAATAGGGCTGGTATGAATTTACCATTTTCATGTTTTCTTCTAAAAAACTTTCTTTTGTATCCCAACTATATAAATGGTTCATTCCTTTTATTCGAAAATACATCACTGACCCATATGCGGCTCCTAAAACTACCATTTTGCAAGGTTTCCGTCCAACATCAATTATACATTTCGGATTAATTCGTTTTTGTAAGTCTTTGGTGCGTACTTTAAACATATCCGTGCTCGATAAATATGTAAAATACAGGTAATTGGAATTAAAATTTTCAATCAAGACTAGATAAAACACATCTTCCGTGGAAAAATCGGTACAAGTTGTAGTTGCAGAATATGGCAATTTTACTCTATAGCCTTCGTTGACTTGAACGTTCCATACAATAATTGAACGAGTACCTCCGTCTCCGATATAAATTATTGGTTTATCATTGCTTACGTTATCATACTCGACAACTAAGTATTGTAGTCGACTGCGAGTGCGACATATTAACGGTCTGAGAGGTATGCTATGTACTATCTGAAACATTTAAAAATATAAATATATCATTTTTTAAATATTGTACTGAGTTAAGAATTAAACTAATAACTTGGCTTGTAAGTTTTAATATTGTATAAAATATTATTTTATTTGGACATTTTGATAAGCAAATATTTATAATTTGAATAAAAGTGCACTATACGTTGGTACAATAGGTACTATACGTTTGCATATATTGTCTTGTTCCTGGTATAAGCATAACATTACAAAACCTATATTTGCTTTACGACAAAAAATATATGTATAGTAAAAACGAAATCAAACATTGTATTTGTGACTAAACGCTGATGTCATATTGCGTGTTGACTTAAACAAAACAAATAAATCTGAACGTAAAAATTGAATGCGATATTTTTTTATGACTAAAGTGTAAAAAATTATAGTCTGTTGCTCGTTACTCACTGCATTTGTATGAGAGATATACAATTATTAGCTGGAATATAGAAATATAATCATAAAACATATTTTTTCTCTTTGATTAGGAATATAATATGTGAATGAACGATTACTAAAAATACATTTATTTTTCTTCGAACACTCAGATAAACCTGCAGGGTATATGATTATATGGGTTCTAAAAATATATTTGAACTAAACATAAAATTAACACAAGACAGTAATGTTGTAAATGTTGTACATGTTGTAATTCAATAATTAATTATAATAATGTATATTAAAATAATATAGGCATACATTTCAATTCTGCGTAGAGTATAAGAAAATTGTGGAGTTATTGTTATCCTTTATAATAACTTAATCTAACCTTCAAAAAAACACACTGTCTCCAATAAGTTTTAAAACATTACGAACGACCTGTCGATCCGTATCTTTTATATCTACGCTACGATAGTTATGCATAGGTATACGTATGGTATTTTGTAACCTACACGTCCATCTCCATAGTCAATCCCCAATATTTTTGCATCGGATTCTGTCTTTGTAGTTTCGTCTAAGGTATTTATAATCCCTATATCCAATACCCAAACTATACCATTTTGACCCATGTATATGTCTATGGCATTTATAATGGATTTATTGTCATCTGCAACATTCTTCTCTAAGTTAGGAAACGGTCGCACATAGTTGTAACATTCATCTTTATCGTAGAGAATTAATTGACTCAACGTGAATGGCACACCTTCCCTAAATCATTAGACTTTATAGTTTATCTTAATAATGACGTTCATACAGTTTTTACTTTATTTTTTAGCTTATTGGAAATATATGAAATATAAGTTTTACTTGTAACGTGGTGAAACTAAAATCACTTGATTTCCACAAATTTGAAACCGGGTGAAAATTATATTTTTTGGTATACAGCGTTTATCGTGTAAATAATCGGCTTCCGTTTTTTTATTTGGCCATTCAATATAATGTCCATTTAACATGTGTGGCTTGAAAATATTTGAACCATTGCGTTCTATATTTTGAGAAATAACGTAGATATTAGCATAATACATTATGAAAAAACCAAAATAAGGTCTCATAATATTATCATTAGTTTTAATATAAAATGTGTGCTAATAGAACACATCATATTTTATGTACTTAGACAAATTGTTTGAAAGTATGAGGCTTGCCTACTTAATATAATGTTTCTTTGGTTACAAAACAGATTATCTTAATCTTATTAACTATGGGTACTATAATTAATAGATATAAATATGTTTTATTTTTTTTCAGTGATTTTATTAAAATAAAGTTTATATGAATCCTGGTAACATATGTCATAGATATATGATAATAAATTATTGTACACATAATATTAATATGCTTTCTGATATAAATATAGTTAATATCATTAATTTTAAATAATTTATAATAAAAAACTTCAGTTAACATGGTATAATTGTTTTTTTTTTCCAGGAAAGGAACTTTACAACTTATATACCTGATTAATTTAGTATCTGGTATTCTATTTTTTAGTTCTAAATCGTTAGCCTCTGTAGAATTATTTTTTATTGCAAGACTTTTATCTGGTCTATCCGCTGGTAAGTCTTATCATTACTTGTTTTGAATATTATTTAACAACATATAAATATATCAATATATTCTTAAACTGATTATATTATTTAAATTTCATCCATACTGTTAATTTTTTGTTCTAGGCCTCACAATGGCGATGGTACCTATGTATTTATTAGAGTTATCACCGGCCAATAAAAGTGGTTTATTCGGTGTGATGTTTACTGTAGGTTTGAACTTTGGCGTGGTGTTGTCTCAGTTTTTAGGCCTGGGAAATATCTTAGGTTGGTCAATATTGTAGTTATTGATAAGAATGAATTCAACATTATTTCATACTTTTCAAAATATATTAAGATCTTGATCAAACAATTTTAATACTTAATAGACTTTCCTATGTTTTTTAGGAAATGAATCATCGTGGCATTACTTATTTAGTCTGTATGGAGGTTGGGTATTATTAGCACTTCCTACTTTAAAATTTATTCCCGAAAGTCCTAAATACTTGTATACTGTACGCAATGAACACAGCAAAGCATTATCAGGTATTAGCTATTATTTAAACGTTACCACTTATCATAATTCATAAGGTTAGGTATTATTGAGTTTAAAACAAATAAAATATTTATTTTTAGAAATTTGATTTCATCATTTGTTCATCATTTTTAGAACTAAGCAATTTAAGAGGAAAGCCAATATCTGATATAAGATGGGAACTAGAAAATTTACTTGTTTCTCCTGAAAGGTGGACGCTGAGAAAGGTTATCAGTGAACCTTCTAGCCGTAAAGCCATAATAATCACCTGCATAGTAATGTTGGGTCAACAACTGTCTGGAATTAATGCAGTAATAATATAATGTTATATAAAAATCGGTGCGACTAAGAGGGGAATGACTTTGTGTCATTAGACCCCTTCAATATGATCATCAATTTTCATTTTCATTTTTTGTATTGGCCTACGATTATTTTGCCCTACCTTAGTTAACCTATGCTCTCCCTTATTCAAAAGACAAGTTGTGCCAATTATTATTTAACGTCTTAATATTTCTTCAGTACATAACTATATTTAAATAATTGTAGGTGTTTTATTACTCTACGTCGATATTCAGAAATGCAGGCATGAGCACAGCTGGTGCTCAATATGGAAATCTAAGCACAGGAGTAATAAACTTCATTGTAACTATTTTATCAACTACATTTATTGATAACTTTGGACGCAAGACACTGCTATTATTTAGCAGCACCATTTGTGTATTTATGCTCACAGCGTTAATGACTTCAATGATTTTATCGTCTATTGTAAGAATTTCAATTATAGAAATTATTGGCTTACTAATTATTCAATATAATTTATGTTAACGTTTAAAATAAATGTGTTTAGGGTACAATACCAGGAATATCGTATTTGTTGATACTTTTTGTTATTGGTTACGTTTTGTTCTATGGATTTGGATTAGGGCCAATCCCGTTTTTTATTGGATCAGGTGAGTTATAAATATTACTTTTAATTTTAAGTATTAAAAATTATAACCTGAACACTTTTTAGAATTAACCGATGTTGGACCCAGGCCTATTATAATGTCAGCAATGAGTGTTGCTAATTGGTCTGGAAATTTTTTGGTTGGACTTGCATTTCCTTTTGTCAACCTTGTTCTCAAACAATACTCTTTTCTTCCATTCATCGTGTTCACCGTATTTTTAATCATATTTACATGGTTAGTGTTTAAAATTAATTTGTATAGTATACTTGCTATATTAAATATTAATTTTAAAAATTATGTATGCATTTATAAATAGTATAATGCATGTATTTTAATATTAATTATTGTGTATATTTTACATAATCTATACAGGAAAGTGGTTCCAGAAACCAAACAATCTTTCGGCCAACAGAGTGCCGATAGTGAATAAGAGTCGAGATTTTATTCATTTCACTTCGATATTAATATATATTATACTAAAAATTATTATTGCCTGCGATTTCATTATCTTTAAGACGTATATAACAATAGAAGAGTTTAACTATTGTAATATGAATCTAGACGAAATTGTTCATTTTCATTTATTAACATTTATACGATTTGTTATTTAAGTTCAGTGCATAGCTTAACAGATAATTATTAGTTGAATATATAATATGAGAGATATTATTTTTCTAACAAAGCTCCCTTTTTAACTGTAAAAACCATCTTTAGAGTATTGGTTTTAAATAAAATTGAATTTACACTTGGGGCAGTAACCTTTAGTACAGTGTCACCTAGAATTTTTATAGTTTGGAAATAAAAAACATTGCATATTTTACACAAGCGCGCCAGTAGAATTATAAACCCTAGCTAGGGGGGGGGGGGCAAAATCAAAAGTATATCTAATAACACAGCACGTTGTATGAAAACAATTAAAATTAATATTAACTAAAATAGTGTTAGGGCATGTCCTCCGGCATCCACCAGCGGGCGCTCTTGTAATAGTTTTTGATAACATTTAAAAACAAAAAACCCAAACCAAGGATCATTATTTTTTGTTCTTTATTTGTATTGTGTAAGATATCTAGAAGATATAGTTGGTGAACATAATTACCTTTTGAATTAGTTTTGATGTTCAATAAATTGTATTCATATTTTAGTTATTAATTTTACATCTCGTGACTCGTTGTATACCCATTATTTTATCTTTTATGCCATTAACTTAGAAGTTCCTCCAATTTTAAGTCACTGCATGAGGAGGGACCGCGTATCTATTATTTTTCATAATATTTAACTATAGACATATTGAATTTATACTTATTTTTACGTATATAAGGACTGCACCAATAATATATATTAATACCACTAGTATTTTTGTTTATATATTTTATTGCTACATAGTCTATTTATTCATACAATATATACAATATATACAATATATACAATATAACCTAACCTAACCTAACCTATTTATTAACAAATGTGGAAAAATTAATTTTATTTTTAATTGTACCTATATATATACGGTCTGGTGTAGTGGTGTGGCTCGAAGATTGGCCTCAATCACTAACGTTTTCCGATATCAAACATTGGCGGACATTGCTATAGTTCCCGGATGGGTTCTCTCCTAACATACGTGTTCCTCAACCAACCATCCCTACAAAAATAGTGATGTCTATAGTTGCCAATGCTTAAAATCAATAAAAAGAAATTACATAGATACACGAATATAGTATTTTAAGTTACTTAAATAATACTAACCTATTAAAATGCATATTTATTTCCGTGTAATTGTCGAGTTATATTTGTATAAAAAAAAATAAATACTTTATAATATTATAAACATAATATAAAGGTAATTTATTTTATTTTTTATATTTTCCCATCAATAAAATTAAAAGTTTACTTTGTCTTCTTTGAATATTTTATCTTGAACATGTATTGTATAATTGGTGAGTTATTATTATAAGATATAAATATATAATAAACCAATACAATTTCGCTTTTATTGGTGGATTATTTTACAATGGTACGACATGTGTTTTTTTGTGCCCGTCTACAACTTTTAGTACAGCAAAAATGTTTTAATCTTCAATTTTCAAGATGGTTTCTGTTACCAAATTGGATTTAACTGGGTATGTAAGTTCAAAATAATTTCCAGTACTTTACAAAATAATCAAAAATTAAATTAAAATACTGCATAACGGGAAATTTTACACAAAACCAGTTTTTGATAATATCGATTTTATTTTTTAGTTTAAATTCAAAAATCAATAGTCGTAGTTGTGCCTTTCACCAAATTTTTATTGATTTTTGTCAGTAAAAAGCTTGACGATTGAATACAAGATCCCAAATAAATCGTCCGTGTATAGCAATTTAAAAACATTGAAAATAAATATCCACATTGTGTTGATACCATTTTAAGTCATTTAAAATTAAGATTTTCCGAAGAATCGCAAGAATTAGCCCAAGCAACAGAGAGTTTTATAAGTCTTGACTTTACCAATTCATTATATTTTATTAACCATTACAAGGTTTGAAAAATATTTTTGAGTCCCTTTTAAATATTTTATTAAGTACATTTATATAATAAAATAATTCTATATTTAAGGATTTGTTTTCAATAAACATGGAGTGTTTAAAGTCGGAAATGACAGTTGCTAGAAATTGTGCAATTCAACTTAGTAACAAATTTGGCTTAAAAGAGCTAAAACAGGTAATCAGTAAGACTGTTTATCCAAATCTGTTCAAGCTACTTCAAGTTGCCTTAGTTTTGCCGATATCATCTGCTTCTTGTGAAAGAAGCTTTTCTGCAATGAGAAGAATAAAATCTTGGACACGTACCACGATGGGTCAGGAAAGACTATCTGACTTATCGATAATTCATATTGAGAGCGATCTAGTCATTGATAAAGACATCATTTTAAATAAGTTTGCTGAAAATAAGCGCACGTTGCCTTTACATTTTTAATAAATAAATAATAATAATAAAATGTTTAGTTTGTTTGATTTTTATTTTATATTTTTATTTATATAATAATATATGGTATAGTACTATTGGGGTGTGTGAGGGGCGAAGCCCCTCACGAGTTTGGTCTGTTTCCTCAAAAATGTTTGGTGCTTAAGCCCCCCTAATGTTTTTGGGTGATTTGCGCCTATGATCCACAATCTTTTTATAATAATTATTTGAACATTACATTTTAAGATCAACTAAATTTCAAAAATTTGCAGTTTAACTATTATTTGTAGCTAAACATTTTCAATTTTAAGAGTTAATACTTGACAATATAACACATGGCTCTAGATAAGTTTTACTCATTTAAGTTAATAACATCTATTGTAATATTATATGAAATAGTCGTATACTAATTATATTGTATTATAATATTATTCGTTCTTGATAATAGTCAGATCAACCTACCATAATACCAATACAAAAATAAATTACTCATACCAATATAAACACATAATATAATAACATAACCTTTAGAAATATAGGCAAATGAAGTGATGAGTAACATGTCAGATCTCTACGGCTGAGAAAGAAGGGCTTCATCTCTGAGAGTAATAATATTTTATAAATAATTTGAGTGTGAAATGTAGAAATCGATATATTTTTCTTTTATCGATTTTATTAGTTAAAATCTCCAAATTTTTAAAACCTCATAATAAATATTTATTGTGTTATATTAATTATCAATCGCAAAATGTTTATCTTTACAACCTATATTAATATAAACTGTATAATTTCTATAAGGTATTTTTGTACACTAAAAATTGTTTTTTCACAACTGAAATTAAGTAATTAAATATTGTTAATTAATAGCAATGCTTTTAATGGTTTCTGATGTATAGTCAACTATCGATAATTAAATCTAATAATTATAAGTATCAATTAACATTACAACAATTGCCACATGAATATATGAGAATGTGATGAATTCTTGTTGTTAGAATAGTTTCTTATGTATAGGTACCCTATATTTATGATAGTTATTAAAATATTAAATATAACCGTGAGCAAAAGTTTTCTTTTTGAGTGACAATATTTATAATTAGTATCAATATTATTATTAAAATAAATAATTTAAATTTATATTCCACTTATTTCAATGAATATGTCCTTATTTTATTATTAACCTCGAACCTCAGGTATTAAAATTCTTAAATCAGACCAAACAAACCGTCTTCGCTCAGAATCTTTTTCATATACAATAATAATTTATCATTATCGTTCTTATATTAAATTCAAATTTAAGATATCCATTACAGTAATACAGTGGCTTACTCAATTACGAGGTACACTCGAAATCTTCTAAACACCACAGCCAGTGACTTCCCCAGTTTTAAATTATAAATAGCCTATATTATGAGGTAATAGTTACAATAATCAATAGTGAATTAACGCTTGTTGGTAAAACAAATATCTAAAATGGGAAGAAAATTGTTTAAATATGAAACAATACTAAATGTTAAACGGGTAATGTAACATGCCAACATGGTAATAAACAACAGTTTAGGAACACCGTTGAGTTAGGTCAGAGGAACAAATTATATTATTTATGTACCTGTCTACTATGTATACATACTACTTATTATAGTATGTGTTGTTGTCCCCTGTATATAAAGTCGATCGGACGCCCAGCAGTGGCCACCATAATTATAATTATTGTCATATAAATCGACTTACTTGATGGTACCCTAGCATGTAATAAACACTAAATTTACCCTTGAAAGTAGGTATTGTTGTACCTACTACATACATGCAGAAATGACGCATAGTATGTATTTTAGACAAAAAATTAGGATATAAAATATACACGGAAATAATAATTTAAAAAAAAAACCTTAATGTCCTGTGTAGTATAAAATGTACAATAGATATGATCCATTAAAATAATATTTAAATATGTCAATCACAAAATGTAAGCAATGGCGTTCGCAGACATTTGTCAAGGGAGGAGCGGAGGCAAAATATTTTCATTTTTCGATTTTTCTTTTACTATTTAATTAGTGATAAAGTTTTGTTTATGACACGTTTTCTTTCATATAGGTGAGGAATGTAAAATGTATTAATGAATTAAAGTATGTAGATGGTTAAAACTAATCTTACAGTCTACAGAATTAATATTAATTAATTAAAATGCAAGTTTAAAATAAAAAATGCATTTTTTTTATAAATAAAATGTTACCATTGCAGATTTGATAATTTTAGGTTACTTATAAAATTTAATGTTTCAAGCTTCTATAAAATAAATATGATAAATGATAATCCAAAAGCAATCAAATTATTTTAATATTTTGAGAACTTAAATCTAAATAATATAATTATCAATCGCTAGAGTGTTACCAATTTGCCATGTATAATTTTCGAAAAAAAACTACTTAACTTATCACCAATCATAAGTAAACTAGATACCGCCAAAAATAATAATAAAACAGTTAGTTTTTATTACTAACAAGTAACAATTTATTACGATACCAATATACTTTATTTATTAATCGGTTAATACCAGTCGAGATCTGTTAAAACAGCCTTGTCATAAAATAATATTTTTTAAAAGAAAAAGAAAAAAAAATTGTGATATTGATGATGATGAAAATTACCCAAAATAAAACCCAAGGGAGGCAACTTCCCCTACTTGCCACCCACCACCAATGCGGACCCCCTCGGGTGTAAGCATACTTTGTGGTTAGGTACGTCGCCATTGCGTAGAGCGGAGACGTTGTCAGCCTATATATATGGACTATATGCGACTAAATTTATCTTTAATTTTTTTTACGATATAATAATTTATTTTTTATATCAGTTTAAAAAATGAAAATAATAATAATATCCCGTAGATTATTTTTCCTGTCGATTTTGTTTCCTTGGCTTTTTTTCTGCATACCCAGTATAATTATACGGCTTGAATCAGAAATAACTTAAAATTAATCTAAATATTTTAAAAATGTCATTGCATTTAGTTAAATATACGAATATACCTACTAAAGAATTTCAAGTCTCCTTGAATATATTTTTATCTCAGCAAAGTACCTAAAACCGTTATTAAATAAAGTATATCAAATAAAATCAAAATTTAAACGTCAAATATTTATTTTAAAAAAATGTGACTGTATTATTTTTAGACTTTTGGGTTTCAGTAAAAACCACTTATGAGTAACCTTGTATACAATTTCTAATCCATATCCATTCAAATAAAATATTTTGTAAATTTTTAACTACAAAATATTTACAAAGTTTTGTATTATTGACAAAACTGTTAACATTTGAACTTCACGCGCTTACAAAAAAATCATGCATATTTTTCAATTGTTAAAAGAGCAACTTATGTGGCATATTGTATATCAGTTGTACCTATGTTTCAAATTTTTTAATCGAGCATAACATTTTTTATCGTTTTAAAAAGAAACTAAGAAAATTCAAAAATTTCAAATAACTAAATAACTTAAAATTAGTCAAAATATTTTGAAAATTGTATTGATTATAGAAAATGATAATTTAATCAATATTTAAATTGTTCAAGTTTCTACGATTAATACTCATGTAGTTGCATTAAAAAAAGTACTAGTAAAGGTATGTGTACCTAAAAAATATTCACTTATTATATTAATTCATATTTCACAGTTTTTGTGTTTTTTTTTTTAATAACAATTAATAAAATAAAATAATTATTGGCACTTTTCGGTTATTGCAACTACCAGCCGTAGTAGGACAGACAGTAAGTACTAGGATCCTATACATATTATATAAGCCCAGGGGCGCTCGCTTGGACAATTTAAATTGAAAACACCTCCTTGAGTTGGTCTCAGAGTAATCTAACTTAAACTCGCATTACATCTAGAACTACGGAAGTTGATAATACATAGGTACCAAAAATCTAAGTCGAGGGATGTCTTTGATTTAAATTGTTCAACCAAGCGTGTCTGTTCTGTAGGTACAATGGTCGGTAGTCTAGAACCAAAGTCCAAAATAATTAAGTAGAGAACCAAATAATTTTTAGTATTTTGAGCTAGCTAAAATTAAATTATAAGAAGTAAAAATACTAGAGTTGCTTAACAGTTACTAGTTAGCACTTAGCGTCCACGTCCTCCACGTATCTCCCTATAATAATTAAGTTAATGCACCGTGCCATGTTAAAATATTATGTATACTAATTAGTTATATCTATATCATTCATGAGTATTTAAGTAAAATACTGAAATAGTTTAAGTGGTTAACCTTAAAAAAAAATAGTGGACATTACCCTGTCCAACAGCTATCCTGACCTTGAGTTAGCTGAGTTAGCATTATAGACCATGGTCATAATATCAGGTACCTGACCTACTATAACCTAACGTCCTAACCTATTAATATATTATTCCGGGCTGCAGTGGTGACATCTCGGACAACTAACTTATTTACAATTATTAATAATAAAATAAATACTTAATTTATACCTACAACCTGCTATAATACTAAAAAAAAAACACGATTTATTAACTTATGACATAGCCTATGCAATATGCATAGGTAATAAAATTATATAGTAGTGTTGCTTTTGCACAACGATTTCGATAATACGATACAATATTGATATAAACATTTAACAACGCATAAATGCCATGAATACATAAGCCGGTACATATTTTGGGGCTAGTCCAACCCTGGTAGTGACCTACCTAACCTAACCTTTCTAGTCTCAAAAAGGTACATTTTACAGTCTCACCAAGATAAAATATAAATATAAAATTACAATACAATTTTAGTATTGACATTTTTTTATTACATAAATTCTAAATTCTTTACTAAATCTAGGTATATAAGTTATGGTCTTAAGTAATTCTGTTGAATATTACTGACAAAATAATTACTAGTTATGAATATTTGTTTCTCAGTCTGTCTATTATAGACCTATGAATTAAAAGTAAGAATGTATAATTATAGCCATTACTCATTACTAAAGGCATATAAAAATAGTGTAATTTAATGCTTATTTACAATAATTATTTACTTAAGAAAGGTAGCAAAGACCATTTACTATTAAACTTGTGGACGCAATAGAAACACTGGAAAGGCATAAAATGTTGAAATGGGACGCAATTCGATAATGCCCTCTTTGTATAATGTATGTACTAGGTACCTCTGTACTTTAGTACCTTGTACCTTGTACAATTGTACATACCTACATTACAAAATGATTGAGTTCTTAGTATAATTCGGAAACAATGACCATTATTTTTACGACTAGATAGTTTTGCCACTTCTGTAAGTACAAATAATTCTTTATCAGCATCAACTGGTCAGCAATTATTTGATGTTAAACAAAGTTACTTTACAAAACTCAAAGTATTATAATATGTACATTCAAATTACATAAATCATTGATTAATTGATGATGCAGTTTAATAAAACAAAGAAGAGTACAAAATATTATGGGTAGTCTAAAACGGTTAATTGCCGACAATTAAAAAATGTATACCTTAATAGAGGAAAGTGCTTTGTGCTCCTTTGGGGTTTTGGGTATTGGACATTCGCTGATGACTGATTTACTAATAGTCGGTAATCAGTAATAAAATTTCTATTAGTTCTAAGTCTATTAAGTCGAATTATCTCCATTATTATATTCGCATAAATGCTTCGTTCTCAATCCTGTACAAAATACCTACCTATTTTATAAATCATTTGACATTTAAATATAACAAAAAAGTTTATATCGTATTATAATTTTTAAACACTAGCAAATGTTTTAATTTTTCAAAAAATACCCTTTTTCACATAATGTTATGTAATTAATAACACAACATTTTTCAAAAGAAATATTTTTCATAATTATATTAAGTGTGCATCATTTTGATTAATATTTTTTTAATTCTCATAATCAATTAATATACCTAATTTAAATTTTTTAATTGTTCTGTTTTAATTTTCCGTGTTATTTTTCTCTGGTCTTTTTTCCGGGATTCCCCTGAGTCTTGAAATACTCATAAGTCATGAATTCATGTTTAATAGTTATTAACGTATCCTGGATATACATATTATTATGTTTCCACATTTTGCAACTAAATTGGTCACCGATACCGATTCAATATAAACCAAATATCAATGGTGAATGACGAATCAGGAATGCATGAATAATAATATTAGTTAGGTTTAAAATTATAAATAGTCAACACTGACACAAGCTCGGTTACTATCTTTAATCTTGCTGACAAGACGTGACAGCTATAGATATATAAACATACCTATATCTGTGGTGACAACACAATAATAATATGTAACATGTGATATTCTTCAATTGTTCAATAATTTCGAGAATAATTTATTATAAAATAAAATGTACGATACAGAGTACGATGTACCTATTATTTCAATTTATTTATATTTCATCACCATAAGTCACAACTACTGATGTACACATTGCACACTACACCATCAGAGTATCAGAAACAGACGTTTCTTATCACTTATCGAACTTATCAGTCGTTAGTCGTTACTCGTTTTTATATTCATTAATAATCAATAATCGTTATTGTTCAATATTGTATTAAGACTTACGAGTTTTATTACGATCGTTGAATGTTGATTTTATTTTTCCTTACAACACTGAACACAATAAGCAATAATAAATAATAATTCTAAAATGAGTATTAACTATTAAGTAATAACAATAATAAATAATAATTCCGATTTCCGGATTACGTCCGCGAAAGCGAAACATCTGCAATAACGTTTCTAATGTTTCCATCCTTTTCTGCTATTTAATAGCATTTATTATAGCACACGGCCGGTATCCCCCACCTCTAAAGAGCCTTTTTTACACACACGAATCGGTTTATTATCGGCGGAGACGGTGGTTTCCGGTTCACCTTGTGATTATTGTTGGAATAATAATAATAATATTGCGGTTTCGTATGCATACCTATTATATTAAACATATTTTTTCATCGTAGCTTTCCATTCGACTACGGCTGCCGTCCGTGTCCTTTCCCTCTACAGTCTATTATAATAGTGGTCTACACTTCTCGTAGATTTTAGAATATCCATTGACCGTGTTGGCCCCTCACTCCTCCGTCGGTCGTCGCAGTCGCCAGTCGCGGACAACGCTCAACGCTCAGCAGTACCTAAACAAACGTTCGGCTATAACCTGTGCCGCTCGTTTCGTTCTCGTCCGCTTTCGCATTTCGTCATCGCCTCACTGTTTCTTTTTTATTCTCAATCTCATTCCTCGTTGTATTATGCAAGTGTATTACAGTCACCGTCACCAGTTTTTCGAATAAACCTATTAGTTTCCTATTTTGATCGTTGATCGCCGCTGCACAAACATGACCAAATTTGTTTTGCCGCTGATATTTGTCTGCCTGGGTGAGTGTTTTGAAATCGGATCTGTGCCCCTTATTGCCGTAACAGTTACCCTATATTATATGTGTTATGTGTATATAATATGCATATTAAATTGTGCCTACTCTCTTTCAAATATTCCCATTGATTAATTATTATTAAACCCAGAATATGCGTTTGTATGTTTTAGTTATTGGCAACAATGTTAACTGGGGCGTTAGTGGAATCGAAGGGGATACAGATTTGAACGATTTACAAGACACTGTGAAAAAGAAGTTTGGATCGCTTGCTCCTGGTTTGCCCAATATTGATCAGCTCAATGAGTCTATACCTGCCTTAGATGAAGGTGAAAAAGTGTTAAAAGAAAAATGTTTAAAAAACAGCCAATCCAACAACTCTTATGAACTGACTGTGGTAAGTCATTAAGTTTTGTTATTTTTACTTTTAGTTTAAGTCTTCGAACCGTGCTTGAATATAACGTGATGAAAAATTACACTGGTCGCAATTTTTAAGCCACATGATATAGAAATAATCAGAGTATTAACTATTATTTAAAATATACATAATTCATAATAAAACCATTGAAAATATATTTGCTAGATATCTAAAAAGTATTTTTCTTAATTTTGTGAAGATTATAGACTAGGTATTAACTAGATTATCTCACCTAAACTAAATTTTAATGTAAAACTTGATAACCCCTGTAATCTGTATACTCGCATTATGTCCTTGATAAAAGACTTACAAATATAAGTAACTTTATTAATTTTTTTTAATATTTAAATTATTTCTTATTTCGTTTAAAATATATTAAAATGTAACACCTTCAAGGACCACCCTGTATAATACAATAACCTTATAACCTCTTGCATATAATATATGTACCTATGTAAATTTAAAATCGTTACTAAGTAAATCAATGTAGGTAATGTGTGTGTTAAAATTGAATTCAATAATATATCATTAGGTACATATGAAATATGAAGTAATTTATTTTGCTATTAGTAATACACTAGGTCGAATTAGTTTTTAGCAAAAACATTGCATTTGAACATATAATGTAATGATATACATACAAGTTTCATGCCCTCACAAATAATGTTGTGCTCATGTACCTACTTATCTTTAATAAAGGGTTATTCAAAATGATTCATTCGATTTCAGATGCTTATATAGTTTTATTTTTAGGTTTAGAACAATATGGTATACATTAAATAAAAGAAAAATATGTCAAGTTTAATTAACTGTACCTATCCATGTTCTATGTGAACTCCTTTGGTTATACGAATAACATCTAGTCGTTCCACTTAATCATCGGATACACTAGGTCGGCCTGTGCTTTTTCCTTTGCACAAACACAATGTTTCTTCAAACTGCTTGTAATACCATTGACGTATACTCCGAGTAGTGTGTGCATCGATCCCGTTATGAGTCAAGTAAAACAAATGCTTATGGTTTTTCAACGAAAATGTGAAATTAGTACAAATGATATCGATGAACGCTGTTAATCATTGTTTATAGTTAAGAAAATTAAGTTTCTACTTATAGTTATTTATTTTTGAGTCAAACGAAAACAACAAAACTGATTTTGTCGAAAATTCTCATTTTAACTTCTTACTTTGAAAAGTCTTGGGAATTTTTTACTTTTTTGTTTTTAACTAACTCCCCCCCCCCCCCTAGATCCAATTTTCTACTAGAAATCACACTGAAATTTGGAAAAAAAAGGAATTTTAACCCTAATTTTACTGTTCAAAAATATAATAGCTAACACAAAAAAACACATTGTGAAATACTAAAATTTTTACATCTCCGTTTAGAGTCTAAAATAGTCCATGTATTTGGCTGTATTGTTATAAATTGGAATACATTTATAAATAAATAATGATAAATATATGGATATGGTTTATTTATTATATTTTATTTCAATTTGTAATATTAAGATAAAGACCTTATTATAATAAAGTACTTCTTATAATAATACAAAATTCTTATGCCTTGCTTTTTTGCTACTAGTTATTAAGCTATTTAATTAGATAGAATGTAATAAGAAAATTAAATAAAAAATGTATTCTATCAGAGATTAAACTATCATGATATTTTTTTATTCCCAATGGTTGATATTAATAAAGATGAGTGTGCAAATGTAAACTGGGCCTGCGGTTACCCTTTTTGTTATAGACTTGGCCCGGAAATTTCAGATAATAAAAAAGATAAATTGTAAACATGGCCTAATAATTCCACAGATAAAATATGATATAATAAATAATTTCACCATAATTTCACCTGAAAATAATAAATAGGTAACGTTAATAACGTATGTTCATAATTTATAGGTACACATTTATATAATTTAATTCTGCTATACGAATTTGCATTATTTTTAATAATATGAAAATTAAAATTAAACAAAATAATTTTTCAAGGATAATGAGAATCACCTTCCCGTGGTGTACTCCGGGTAATGCTATATGTATCTCAAAAATATTTTAAAATATTAGATATGAGAAGATCTGAGCATAGTACACACTATTTTTATTCTGAAAAAAAAACCGGGTTGAGCTTACAGTTTCATTGATAAGTTCCTCGACAAAGATACCCTATTTTCTAAAATAGCCAAAGATTTCTGAGTTGAACTCCCAACTTTTATTAGAACCCCTTGGTATATTTTAATTTGCTCATTCCTCCTAAAAGTAACTATTCAAACTTGATAAATATTAAATACACTCAAATGCATTTGTATTAGTTACATTTAGTCATAAATTACCAATAATTAGTGTAGTGTAGTACAAGAAAATTTCTGAGCCGAGACATGAGTGAGGATCTACTTCTGAGAATATTTTATTATAATTTATTTATATTAGTTCTAGTAATACGATAGTTAATCTTAACTTGGTTATAGTACGGTTTTTCCAAAAACATTGTATACCTATATTACATATTAATTATTGTAATAGGTATACCTACTAATATTATATCATATATTATTTTACAAACCTAACTGTCCTAATTTATAAGTAAATACCAGCGCAATTAAGGTAGAATAGTGTAAATAGGCTTGTGGTATAATTAGATTAAAATTAAGTAATCTAAAATTTTGAAAATTTCACATTGTATAGAAAATAATAATTGGAAAAAAAGACCTTTTGATTAATGATTTTTGAATTACAATACTAAATTCATTATATTTTTTACTTTATTGTATAATCAAAAAATTCATTGCACTCCTCAAAATCTAAAATAACAATGTTCCAATATTATACCTGCAAACTAACATAGGTAATATATAATGACCTTGATGATTTTCAATAATTTTTACTCAAATTATTGTGGCCTTCATTCTAACGACTTAAATAGTTAATACACAAATATTTTCTACACTGGTAGACAACTCATAGCATAGTGATCACTGATCATGCTGTTTATAAACATACCCATTACTGTTGGAATAGATTCTAAAACACAATAGTGAGGTACATTTTTATGCAATTTCATTCCATATATCTTCAAGACGGCTTATTTTGAGTTGAATTTTATTATAGTTGTAAAATACCTCTAGTAACTTAGCCGGTAACATGTTAATTAATAGTTAACCCATTCTTATAAGTGATGTTTCTACTCACATACTAACATAGGTCATTCATCAATAAATAAATTCTTCAATTTAACACAAAAAGAGATCAAAATGAAGAGCATGGTCTGTGGTATAATACCTAAGATGCTAATGATTAGATATAGGGTTTTCTACTGATTCCAGTTTTTCCATTTATTTTTTTTAATTGACTGTTTTGGCAGAATCCTATATATGTGGATGTCATACATTCACATGAGGTTGAAAAAGATATTTAAAAATAAAGTTTAGTGTGCAAGGGGGGGGGATGATTTGAATAATAGATTATGGAACAAGTGTTTTCGGTTGTCTAGTGAGATTCTTTTTCTTTGTTCATATTGGGTTCCAGGTGAGACATTTATCAAATGTTACTCCTAAATATTAATTTTTGTGTGAATTGGGTATTTGTTTATTTATTTATTTTTTTATTATTCAAGGTTGCTTTTGGGAAAATTCCGGAGTACATTCTATTTCTTAATGAAAAGTAATATGTTTATATTAAGATTCATTAACTTTAAAGCATCAATTTTTACCAATCGGTTTGATGGTTTGCCTGTAGGTTAATAGGAACCTATAACAAAATATTTTATTGCTCCATCAGAAAAATATGCATTTCAGTAATTAAATACCTACTCTATGAAAAGCTAGCAAATATTAAATATTCTACAACTATAATTGACTATGTATTGATGCTTACCTATACCATATTTTTTATACAATCTAGTTACTAAGTTCGAGGTACTTTGTAGTTTGTACACCGCTACATTGGTCTGTTAATAATATTTTGTCTGATTGCACTAATATTGTACACATATTTTAATGAGGTTAGTCAATAATATTTATGTGTATCCTTAAGATTTCCATGTTTATGTAATTGTGTATTATGTAATTTATAAAGTGTGTGTCATACCAACCTATATGAAATAATATGATATAAAATTTACAATAATAAAAACACGATATATTTCTAAAAAACGTAGTATATTTCTTAGTTCTACTAAAATTATCTATAGTTTGTAAATACAAATAATTAAATGATAAACACATGAAGGTTAAGTATATTACAATATAGAGTTAAATGAGCAACATTTGTTTTGTGTTAAATCTGATTATAGACCTTCAATTCTCCCAGTTAAACTGGATAAGGAAATTAAACGTAGAATTATGCCATTATCAATGTCATATTTTTATATCTGATGAGTAATTAATGATTAATATATATTTGTTTTCAATATACAAAATATACGTAATATATTATATTTCATGATAATTTTTCAAACATCACAATAACATTGAAAATTTAAAATGTCAACAATATGGTTAATAAAATACAAATATAGCATTGATAAATATTTTTAAATATTTATTTAATCAGTCAATGTGGGTATGTAAATGTTACATATAAAATTATTTTTCATTGCAAAATATTAACTAAAAATTGTATTGAAATTCCCATGAGAACCTATATGATATAAATTAAACATAGTTAACTCATCAAATTTAGGAAACCATTATCATTGTTTTAACGACACATAAACCATATTACATACCTATTCATGATTAGGTAGATACTTAACTCTATATTACAATTTTTCTATAAAATACTGTTATGTTCAAAGAAATTTAAATTGTTATTCAATTAATATTTTATGTTCATCACATTCTCAGACAAGTTTACTTCAAGATTATTAAAGTAGCACTGAATTACTTTGAATTCAGTTATATCATAACTAGAACTAGAAGTTATTTGTTGTACAATTATAAAGTATACTGTTTAATAAATTCAATTAGACTGTGAATATAAATTCAACATATATCCTGATATAATTTCAAATATTCTAGTGCAATTCATTATTTTAAATTTGTTGGTAAATTAAGATTTAATTATTATAAACCTTGATTACAAATATTTTAAATTCTATATGTATATTATTATACATATTGATGTTTATCATAATCTATGTGATGTATGACTGCATAAAAACATGGTACTTTTGGAATTTTTATCAACTCAATTTTTTTTTAATAAAGTTTATTGTAAATCTCTTAGTTTCCCTGCTTCATTTATCATCAACATCAAATTTAGGTTTTTGTTTACAATTTACTCAGAGATCTAGGAAATTGGAATGTTTTAATGTATATGCCAAAAATGTTATCTACAATAAATAATAGGTTGATTGTTAATTTTTCAAATGATTTATTGTATGATCTATCACAAAAAAGTTTACAGAATGAAAATCAAATTTATTATACATATAATGACGTATGTAAATATTGAATAATGGTTTTATTTATTATTTCTTATATTTAATAGGTAGTCATTATATTTTATATTTCAAAATATTTAAATACCTATTTTGTATTAAGGTTATCATTAAATACATAAAATTACAAAAACTGTTTGTCTGACTAAAATTCCAACTTTGAACTTTAAAATTATAAAAGATAATAATTGCATACTTGTTATACAACATAAGATGTATATAAGATAATAACATTATTTGTATAAGATCTTGTTAATTGTTTATAAATAGTATTCAATGTGTATCTTAAAAACCATTTAATCGTAAATTTTTATGTAGATAATAAATTTATAACTTATGTTATTTTATAGTCTTATTATTAGCTTATAGTTATGGTCTTATTGGCGTTGTTATTTATATTATGTACGTACAAAAATGTACAAGGGAATTCATATTGACATATAATTATACTAATATGATAAAGAACAAATACATTTTTTGTTTTTTTGTGTCTAACAAAATATTTAATTTTTTTTAAATACCTATCATGGATTAATAAAATAAAATAGATGTTAAAACCAAATAATAATAATAATAATAATAATAATAGTTCTTTAAAAATTTGCTTAGGTACTTAAATTTGAAATAATTGTTTTTTTTACTATTCAATTATATAGATATGATTATTTAATTGATGTATCTTATCATAATATTTACACATTAGTCAGGTTAAATAATTTAATTTTTGTTTACAGGAGGCGAAGAAAGAGTTTGAAGTTTGCGTGAAATCTCTAGTTGATGTTACAGAACTAAAAAAAGAGATTAATGAAGCTAAACCTAAAGGTGATCTTGATATGGTATTTAAGAAATACTGCAGGTGAGTAAAAAAAAAAGATAAGGGGACTTGTCCAATGTGTGGTCTAACATGCAGCATCATATTTATGATTTTGCCCCGGGACAAAAAAAAAAATGTCTGATTATACTAAATAAAAATGTAATACTAATTACAAACTTGAAATTTAACGTCCCCTTATAATCTTCCACCCTGGAATAACAACACCCTATTGCCCCCACCCCTTAAATACGACCCTGCTAACATGAGATTTACCAAATACCTTTATATATATTGTGCTACTTAGAGTGTACATACCTTACTAAATTGTTGTTTATTAAGTTTGTACCACAAAAGTGTTCTTTAAATTTAATGGAAAAATCATTAATTATTTTGATAGTTTTATTGAGTGACATGATTGTTATTATGTTTCTTTTAGTTAGATGTCTAATAGTTTAAAGGCACCAATCATTTTAAGTTGTTTTTGGTCTTGACTATCTTTTAATATGATTCTATTGTTTGAGCATGAGCTCTCCTGCATTTGGGTGCCCGAAATGTTCAGTACGATTCACAGTTTGGTAAATAAATGGTCCTGGTTTTTCAGAGTACCATATGCTAGCTACTGATCACTGATTCATTTTACAATTCCTACCTCTATTTCTATCATTTGTATACGTGTTTGTTAATCTTGTTTTTCTACTATGAAACATTGATGTTCAGTTTTATTGTCATGATTACAAGATAAACCAATTATAAGCACTGGCCTTGTATTTGCTTTTCATAATTAAATTAATTATTTTTACCTAGGCTGCATTTTCATAATTCAAAGTATCTTATATGACACAAGTAATGTTAAATAGTAACTGAATGATATTTTAAGAATTGAATATTTAAAACACTCCTACAAAATCCACTTGTATCGGTGACATTAAAATATTATATACTTCATAAATATCAGTTATCGAATATCATACATTGGATTGGTCCTTAGATTCAGAGTAAATACAACATTTATAAATTTATAATTTTTTTTTAGAAAGTCGCCAGATTTTAAGGATTGTGTTTTAAATTTCACATCTACCATTGATGTGTGCTTAGACGAAAGTGAAAAAGATAGCAAGAAAATTCTTCAGAGTGTCACAGAAGCTTTATTATCATTTGTATGCCATGATGAGGGTGATCGTATAGCATGTAAGATAAAGTTATTGATATAATGTTTTTGATTACTTTTACTTATGTATTACTTATATTTTATCATAAATCCATAGTTGAATAATAATTGTTTTTATTTAAACAATAATATGTTGTATATTTCTTTTTATTTAGTATTTTATTCAGAGGGTGGTCCAGATTGCTTAATGGATAAAAAAGAAGCTATACAACACTGTCTAAATACATCATTCAGTAAGTACATGCCTAGCGGTGAGCCAAGCTTGTCTAGCTTGCCAGCATTCAAATTTGAAGAAGATCAATGCAAGTATGTATCTTAATTAATATATTTTGGAAACATTGTGCTTGATTATGAACTAATAGTATTTACTTTTTTTATTTCATAGGAGTATGTCTGATTTACAAGTATGTGTAATTGCTGAGTTAGAAAAATGTGGAGAACCAACACCCGCTAACATTATTGAGTCATTATTTGAGTTTGTACGCCGATCAACACCATGCTCAAAATTTCAAAGTGCTCAAATACGTAAAAAATCTGCAGGTGTTTCGTTACATGCAACAATCTCTATTACAGCATTATGTAGTTTAACAATCCTGTTAGGTCGAATTGGATTTTACTAGTATATTGGCAGTACTTACAGAATAATTAATAACAGTGTTAAATAAGGCTTATAATCAAAATCCTTAATATATAGTGAGACCAACGTTGAACTAAACTAAATTTACAAATTATATGTAAACATAGGACAGTAATGTTATTATTGAAGAATACTCACCCCACCTTTTTTTTTACATATTTGTCTAGCAAGAGTTAACTTGTACAGATCAATTTGAACAGTATACATATTTTTTTATTTAATCAGTATATTTTTTTTCAGACTATAATCATAATTTAAAGTGTTCAAATTGTATAGTCATAAACCATATTATGATTTTAAATTGTGAAGCAATATTTTCTAAATATTAAAATGATATCAGAAAATAAATTACTAAAATTACCTACACCAATATAAAATAATATATTTTTTTAATGAAAACAATGTTAAAATTATTTTTTAGTTACAATATTTAGTTTTCAAAATCTTAAATTTGCTCTTCTTAATTATATAGGTGGTTGCAATGGCCTACTACTTTTATCTCAAAGTGTTTATGTTATTAATTATGGTTAGTAAGTTTTGGTGTTTAGGATAAAGCATAACTTATTTTGTACACACAAAGTAAGTGTGTATACAATTTTTTTGTAATTATAATTTTTGTTTTTTATGTTTATCTATTTATTTTATATGTGTAACCACAAAATAAAAAAAAATATCTTATGTTTAGTATTATATAATATACTGCTTTATTACCAACTTATGAACATACACAAAATATTCCTATTAAATACATTATGAGTTAAATTAAGTTATGTGATACAATCAATATTATTGTTAACGAGTTATATTAAAAATCATTAATTATAACTCAAATATATATTGTTATAACAATGCAGTCTCAACGTCTTAATAGTACGTCTTACCCGCATGTGTCTCCATCTTATGAAAGTGCAACATAACAAATAATATATCGAGAATAATCTATTTAACTTTATTATGAGCATATAAAAATTGTTTTTAATTTTAAAGTGCTTATAACTTTTTTCTCAATTAAAATACCAGAAATGCCTTAATTGTATGTGGCACCCTATATCTATATTCTTGTAAAAAAACTTATTTTAAAAATAAATGCGAAAAGAGATTCAACATAAAATATGATGGTACATTAGTAATAAAGAGATAAGTTGGTTATAAAAATATATACCTACAAAGAAGTTTTTACATAAATAGTTGAAAACAATTTCAACATTAATTTTATTGTATAATATTATTTTTATATAAAGCAGTATCTAGCTTATCTAACCTAATCATGGTCGTTAAGATATAGGATTAGAATGGTCAATTAGTGTCAACAACTTACATACATAAATAAACAGAATACAACTATTTTGGAATAAAGTTTATTATATATTTGAAAAAATGTTCATACATAAAGGATCCTTGTGATACATTTCATTTTTTTTTCCAAAAAAATTAAATTTTACCAACATTTACATGGCCATTTGCCATAGGTTTTTTAATATATTATAATAAATCATAATCATAATGAACATAAGGTACTTTTTCGCTTTTGCCTGTCTCCGTATTCCTGTGATCCTCAGAATTTCCTTGTTATTCATCATATTAAAATTGTTTAAGTAAAACAATTACACTACCTAATTGTTATTAACCACATTCAAAATTCAAATAACCATTTATGGATACCCACAATGGAGTAGTTGAATATTTTGAACTATTTGATGTCTGTGGTAATGTGGTGGATTGTGGGTAACGACTAATGAGTAAGACAACGACTGCATTTATCAATAATAGCTTTTGAACTAATTGTCCATTTTTGTGTAAGACTTTAAATCTGATAGAAATTTGATGTAGGTACAAACGTAAATAAAAGGTGACAATTTTTCCTCAATCGATTACTGTTATTATATCATTTATCAAGTATCTATCTAACTAGTAATTTTAAAAGAAGTAGAAGCTTAAACATTTCACTGTTAGAAACTTAAATATTAACTTTATACAAAATGAAATTTTCAAATGTCTTTTCATACTCTCATAGTTACCTTTTTCTGAACCAAGATGCTTAAAATATAACTCCTGCAGAATCCACTTTTAGTTTTTTTCAAATTGACTGTAAAGTATTTATAAATATTAAAATATGGAAAGTTGTAGTACATGGTCCGCAAATTTTTTTGCATGATGGAATGATTTTTTTTTTAATTTTTAAATTATAAACTATATTATTTTAGTGTGTTTTTAAACGTTCACAGTTCATTTATGACAGAAAAATACAAAATGTTTAAATGTTGGTTGTTTATATGTAGGTATCAAATATTTGTCCTTTAAGATAGTGACATAATAATTGAAGAATGTTTAAAATTGACTTATCCTGTGTAGCTCGTGTCGCTCGTGCATCATCCAAAATGTTACCCATGAGTAGGTAGTTACTAGGTACACCATCCGCTTTGTAGGGGGCTTGATATGGGCTAGTTAACGAATTTAAACATTAAATACCTATATAAATAAGCAGTATTTCAAAGTAATTTACAGATGATGATTTCATATTTTCACGTCTATTATACTACAAATATTCTATCATTAGTTGTCATGTCACACTAATCATTACTACAAAACTATACACACTAAGCGATTGGTCAAATATCGAACCAGAATCATTTTACTTTAAAAATATGTATAAGTATTGATTATTTAAAACATAAAATTTGTAACTTTCGGTACGTATACTAACTACACATTCTATAATTGAGATTTGAATTCCTTCACTTTATTGATAAAGTATGAAAGTAGTTAAATAATGTTTACAAAAGCCTAAAAAAAGCTAGATGATCGTGTTTAATGTTGATCCTACCGATAACGATGATGATCATGCTTATGAGTTATGACTTATGAATTCCCTTTCTAATTCAACGGAGATGGACAATTCTTCTGTGGCAGATTCATATTTCCCAAAATCGATCAATTAGGTTTTGAGTATATCAGCTACAAACAGGTAGGTACACTATTCAACTATCGTCTCTCATGTTTATTTTAGGAAATCGGTACTTAATTTCTTTATTTGTAGCCATAAGGGACGATTAGATGCATGCTTTTTCCCCATCTGCCTAAATAACCATTGGCAACCGTTTATAAACCAAAAAAAAATACTAATTAATACTAGGTAATTACTTCTACAATTACCATTATAATCTATAGATGTAACCAATGGCAACCAATTTTTCGACTTTGTCGTAAATCTTCAATCTTAGTGTGATGAGGATCTTCTCCAGGCAACTTTCAGTAAAAACTATATTTGGACAATAATTACGAACATAAAAAAAAGAGTTTTCAAGTGTTTGCCAACATATTATATTATAATATCTATCATCTATGGCAAAAGCCGATCGTCGTCACTCGTCGGAGACAATTCACAATTATAATAATTTCATTGAACAAAAGAGAAATGTGTAAGGCAACAATAAACATTTGCTCACATATTTCATTCTACTCAAGTAATTTTTTTAAAAAATATAGATTTTTTCAGTTCGGGTTTAGATGAAGAAAGAAGTTCCTCGATATGGCCTTGCAGCGCTATATATTACCCGAAGACTCGATGTATACGTAAGTTTGATTACCTATTCTTTTAGAGCTTACATATTTTACTTTTTTGTCTCAAAATTAAAATTTATTGTCACAGACAATTTGTTACCCGGGTAAATTAGGGGCATATTTTTTGTTCCCGAGCGCGCAACACAAAAAAAATACGCTTATTCGCTTATAGCACAAACGACGACGGCACATCCAGGTCGCAGAATAATAACATATTTATACAATTAAATAGTGTTGTACATACTAGTCATACTACAGTAGTACAGTACACGAGAGTTCTTATGTCTCTCAAAATTCAACAATTTTTATTTTTAGTTTATATACATATTAAGTAATATATGAGTATTACTAAGCCGTCTGCGTGCGGTCGAACCGCGAATTAAAGTGACGTCGCCGTACTTCAAACATCAAATTATTTTATAAAGCTGGGATAGTCGTTCTGCTGATTATTGAATATCCATCGGAAATTAAATAAAAAAATTTTTAATATTCTCGAATAGCTTAAAATATACCTAACCAATGTATTCAAAATTAATGCATAAAATATTAATGTGATGCATTAGGCACTAAATACCTTTATGTTAAATCTAAAAAGTAGTAATCACATTTATTACGATAAGATTTGTATTTAATAACTCATAAATAAATATGCTTGTTCTTCGAATATTTAAACACCACCTTTATTAATTATTAAATTAAAAATTAAAATAATAGGTACTTTATATATTTTTGTAATTTAAATTTTAAAATTATAAACTATTTTGGTTATTGTCATACCTCATTTCATTATCTTAATGATCAAATCTCAAGCACGGACCTCCTTGATATACAATTTTGTAATATACTATATATCTATGGTTTTATCATATTGACGTAGTATAAATTATAATGCAATCCGTGGCGATTGTCAAAGTAGTTGCAAAGACGCAATCGATCTAAAATTTCAGTTAGCAAAGCTGCAGACATGAACCAGGAACATGAAGCGATCCGTACGGTTTTTTTTTTTCATGATAAATTTTAATATTTTCAGACTTAAGTTCAGTCGTGATCTGATTTATTCCGCAGTGCACACACAATATCAGGAATTCTGCCGAAGCCCGAAAGCGTCGATGTTTAAAGTAATTAATTTTAGTTTCATACTTTTTTGGTGCTTAAATTTATTTTTTAAACAAAAAATTTAATTTCATGAAAAATATGCTACCCCTATGTACACACATATTATTTTATTTCTGAGAGCAAATGCATAAAATACGAGAGATCAAATAATATACAAACGCCGCTCGTCGTCGTTGTTTTTCTGCTCCCTGATCGTAGGGTAATTTTATAATTATAACCTTCTTTTAAGTACTTGAAACAGACATTCATTATACGGTTTAAATTAGAAATACCCGTTGCCAGTGATTACTCGTAAGACACAATTTTAATTTATAACTTATAATTTTTTTTTAATCCAAAGTTAGCTATTACAGGCTGTTAGTGTTCTATATATTTCATTGTTCTATTATAATATATTAATATTACATTATATTATAATTGTATCCAAAAAACAAAAATGTTCACAGAGTGGTAAACTCACTATCCTAAAAATTAATCACCCCGTACGAGTGATTATGAAAAATATACTGTTATACTAATATAGGTAATATAATATAATAAATAATATTATAATATTATATAATATAATAAATAGTAATGAAATAAATATAGACACAGGCGTTCAAATATTCTAAAATGTTGTAGTTATTCAAACCTGGGTGTATACTAGTTAAAAAATTAAAGTTATGTAAATTTTAACTTTTAAACTTCTTTTAGATTCCGAGCGAAGCGATGAATGTATTGATTTTACAATTTATTTTTTTTTGTTTCTGTCATCACGTTAATTTGGAAGAGTAAAAGTGCTTAGATTTTCTTCGACAAGCATTTTTTCTGGTAGAATAGTATCGGTACTTCGAGGGGTCAAAAGTAAAAAATTCTCAATAGTTTTCAAAAGCGGCAGGAAAAACAAACAAAAAATTAAAGAAAAAAGCGAATTTTTAGGGAAACCCGGTTTTCAACAAAATCTATTTTTGTTTTTGATGCAACTCTCAAAAAAAAAAAAAATACCGTAGATATACATGAAATTTTTACTGAATATTTATAACCGCGTTTTCTACAAACCATACAATTTTGACAACAAATTTATAAGCGTTTGAATTTTGAATTTCG